TCCACCCGTATTCATTTTTTGGACCAAGATTTCTTAGAAAATATTCATACTGGAATTTTCCTCCCAAAAGGAGGAAATAATTCTGGAATTTGATAGTAGTAACCTAAATAGTCAACCAGGAAAATTAAATAACTCTTTGATAGCTCTTATTTGCTCTTGTTTCTGATATCACTGTAGCTGAGTCTGGAGACAGTAATCATTTGTTCTTATTGGATCAGCTACCATCCTCTTTATGGGTAAACTCTTCAAATTATATTGCAGAATCCACAGTGCATTTCCCAGCAAGATTCAAATCCATCAGAACTTCTCCTCAGAATTAATAAAGCTTTACTAATCAAATTTAATTAATAAATTAACCTATATATAAAGAAGCCCTCTAAGGCATCAGTCCCATAATATGAGATTGCAAGCCTCAGGGCCTCATTATCGCCTGCACTAGTCCTTATAATACCCCTATTTTACTTGTGAGAAAACCCAATGGCAGAGGATGGGAGTTTGTCCAGGACCTCTGAACAATAAATAACATTTTTATACCTTGGCACCCTGTTATTCCTAACCCCCATACCCTACTGACACCCAATCCTACTGAAAGCAAATTTTTCACTCTAATTGCAGTACAATTTTTTAGTATTCCTGTTAATAAGGATAGCCAATATCTTTTTGCTTTTACTTGGGAAGAGTGGAAATGCACCTGGACAGTAATCAGTAATGCCCCAGGGTTACACCCAGTTTTTTCCTTTCACAAAACTCAAAAACTATTTGGGTGATAGAAAGTTTTCTGCAGGCTCTATTTGTTAAAATACATAGATGATTTGCTTTTCTGCTCCCCTTCTCAAACCTCTTCACAGGAAGACTGCATCCACCTGTTAAAACTTCTGGCCTTAAAGGGACAGAAAGACTCCAAAGAAAAAATGCAGTTTGCTCAAACTCAGGTTTGATACTTAGAGTATCTGATCTCAGAACAAGAGCTACATTTTGATTCAGGTAGGCTTTATGGCATCCTGAACTTCCCAAAACCTAAAACTAAGTGCCATTTATGAAGTTTTCTTGGACTGGCTGTCTACTGTTGAAATTGAATTTGAAACTTCTCTCTTAAGGCTCAACTTCCATATGTTTTATTTAAAAATGACCCTATTTGGAAAGATCATGATGACATAGATTTGGGGACCTTAAAGAAAAACCTAATAAAACTCTTTGTCCTCAGACATCCTAATTATCAACTTCCCCTTTTCCTCATTGTATGTGAGGGGGAAGGGAATGCCCTTGGGGTACTCACCTAAAAATAGGGGAACATCATCAACCAATAATAGGGCATTATAACCAACAATTGGACCATTTAGCATGGGGATAACCCCGTTTCCTTAGAGTCATTCTTGCCACTGCCCTTTTGGTCGAAGCCACTCTGGAGAAATAATCACAGGATCCTCTTTAACCATCCCGTGTCCCATGTAGCAGAAGCCCCCCCGCCTCCCAATTTTCATTATACTTAAGTCAGTTGCCTTGCCTCCTAGGACATCATCCTGCTAACTGCTCCTCATATAACTCTTCTTGCTATAGTAACCTTAGCTCTGTTATTATCCTCTCCTTCATGGATGAAATCCCTCATCACTGCTTAATGCTGACAGATAACTTTTGACTCCCTTTGACAATTTGTAGGAAACTCCTCTAACCAATGCAGGTTTTTCATGGTTTAATAATGGCTCATATTTAAAGGATGAAAATGGTAAATATTGTGTTGGGTATGCTATCACAACTCCTTTGGAAGTCATTGAGTCCATACCTTTACCTGTGGCTATTTTGGCCTAGCAGGTTTAGTTATATGCCATACTTGGCTTGTACCTTAGATGTACCAACATTTACATCAATAGTCAGTTTGCCTTTGGAGTAGCTCATGACTTTAGAAGTGTTACAGAAACAATGAAATTTCTTTACCTACAATGGGAATAAAATAAAAAATGGCTCCAATGTCCCAAATTTATTAGATGCCATACTTTTTGCAGGCAGGCCTGGCTATTACTAAGCTTCCTGGGCCTTCCAGACTCAACTTCTAGAGTCCAAAGGAAACCACCTCACTGAGATTTCCAACAAAATGCTGTTCTCAAGGAAACCAAGACCCAAACCTGTCATGGTTGAAAGGGATGTTCTCTCAAATGATGAACTGGAAAAAATGACAAGAGTTATCCAATAATTGTTTACTATTTTACCATAATTAAACCATTGACCTATGACAAAATAATAGTCTTTGGGAATGTAGGTGGGGAAATATAAAGGCTGCAAAAAGTGCCTACCTTTCTTGTCCCACCCGTCCAAAGTATCCAAAAAGCCTGTTCACACAAATGGACTTCATACAGCTACCCTGTCTCATGGAAATAAGTATGTTTCAATTAATTTGGTCTGTTTTCTCACTGTACCAAAGCTTTTTCCTTGTAGACAGACCAATGCTTATTCTGTGGCTTAAATTCTGCTAGAAAAGATTATCCCTGGGGTGCCTGGGTGGCTTAGTCAGTTAAGCTCTGCCTTTGGCTCAGGTCATGATCCCAGGGTCCTGGGATCAAGCCCCATGTTGCTCTCCCTGCTTAGAGGGGAGCCAGATTCTCCCTCTCCCCCCGCCCCTCCCCTGCTTGTGCTCTCTCTGTCTCTCTCAAATAAATAAATAAAATCTTAAAAAAAAAATAAAAACAGAAAAGGTTATCCCTCCCTGGGGAACCCCTCTTCAACTTCATAGTGCTTGGGGAACTCATTTTACCAGGCAGGTGTTTCAACAAGTCTGTGCTGTTTGGCCAGTTTTACAACTTTCATTGTGCATACCATCTTCAATCCTCAGGGATAGTTAGTTGCACTAACAGCACTGACGAAATTTGTACAGACCCTCCAAATACCTTGGCTGAAAGCATTGCTGTTGGTCTTCTAAATTTTAGATCCACTCTCTTTGGGATTCCTAGACTCTCATCCTTTGAGATGGTCACAGGATGTCCTAAGCGCTTGGCCCCTGCCTTCTCTGACTCGGAGTTGATAGAAGGGGATCTACTTTAACATTGTAAAGGCCTAGATGCTTCTACTGAAAATAACCGTGCTTTGGTAGAGCAATCTTTTACCATGTACTCAAGTACATGGGAGACAGACTTCAAGTACTCTGCAACCTGGAGATTTCATCTATTGGAATAGACCCTTCCAGAGAGACTCAACCTCACTGGAAAGGCCCTTATCAGGAACTGCTAACCAACCCTTGGGCCACCAACCTCAAGGAATAGATTCTTGGGTTCACGTGACACATTAAAGAAAGCTGCAAACCCTGACTGGGTCTGCACACCAGCTGGTGACCTGAAAGTGAAGATTTCCTGGAATTGAAGCAGATGACATCTAATGAGACCACTTTCTCAAGATGTCTGGACCAGGACTGTATCCCTTTTTCTCACTGTTCACTGCTGCTTTCTCTTTTATGGAAAGAAAATGCTCTGTATTTCCCAAACTCTTGCAAAAGGGGGAAACGTCCTCTTTTGACTATGGCCTTTTGGAAACAACTTTCGCATGATCCTGTGAGATTTCTCTGAAGGGTGAGAAGGTCAGAATTCATAGAAGTCTTTCATCTGAACTATGACCTGACTCCTGAGTCTTACCTAAATTCATGGTTTCTGAATTTACAACTTTACATTGATATTATTGATAACACATCTGCTTCCAAGCCGTTCTTTTGAGATAATACCATTTTAAAACATCTTTGAAGTGTTGCTGTTTGGCAACAAGTTCATCAGCTACTGCTTCATGTTTATAACTGTACTGTATCTTCCCAAATGTACTCCGCTAATTCTTTCCGTGTGATCTTGCTCATCTTTTATGGTTGCTTAAAGGGGAGACTTCCAGGAAACATACATGACTGAAGGCTTGTTTTCATAAGGAGAACCTTTCTCCCCTAAGTTGGAATAAGTGCCGATAAACATGTGAGTTGGCTACTTTCTGACCTAGGGTCCCAGTTGACCTCTATTCTACAACAATTTGAAATTGTCATGCTTTGTATAATTATTTCAGGTGTTGTATTTTGTTCCGTGTCAAACTTTTGTGAAAACAATGTACTCAGAAAGGTGATGCTGGTGATTCTCTCTCCAAACCTCTCTCTAAACCTTCCCTGTTACTGTAATGTGGCCTTAAGTGGAACATGGGACATGACAACTAGGAAAGGTCCTTCCTGGACAAAAGGGACAAAACCACAAAATATGGAAAACCTGACTCTTGATCAATGATGATTTTGAGGAAATGTCTTGATCAAAGGGAGGAAATGTAAATATTAATAAAGGTAAACTTAACTAAAATGGAGTGGGGAAGCTGGAAGAAGGAAGTTCTCTCATCCTACCACTCACCACCAATTGCAGATGCCAACAGGAAGAGATATACCTTGCAAGTAGGTACCGTCTTACTCCCCAGCAGGAGGAAGAAAGGTTTTCTCCTCCACCAGCAACAGTTCAGTCAAAGAGAGACTGTCATAACTCAGCTAAGGAAAGGCCACTATACTTTAAACTCCTAGTTTACTCCAATGGACTTTATATTTACAACAGCCCTATCAAATACCCCCAGCTTTCAGCTATAAAGGACCAACCCTCTCCTTTGTTCTCATCCTTGCCTGTGGTTCTGCTGTAGCGTGCATGTTTGGAATTGTAATTTTCTGCTATTCTTGATCCATTTTGTTGGTAAAACAACATAGTTTTATTTTTAAGGTTAACATTTGAGTTCTTTTAGAAACCATTAGGGATATTTTTCCTCAGCCACCCCCTCCCCATTCCCCACAGCAGCCTGTCCTGGTTACTGCAGAATCAACATTATAGGAGTTGCCTGCCAATAGGAAGTCTCGGTCTCCTCCCCTTGCCGGACTTCCTTTTCCCCCTTAAGGCCCCCTGAGAACCGGAGGGGGCGGGAGTTGTTTGCTGTGGGAGGGCGGGGGTGGCAGCCCGGCTTTGCAGGAAACCTGCGGGTGGGCCAGCGCTCACCGCCTCCCCTGGCGTGCTCTCTGTTGGTCTGCAGGCTAGAGGCTGGCTCTTTCCGGAGCCCAAAGCTTTGTCCCCAGGGAGCCATGGCGAAGTCCAGGGGCCGTCTCTACTTTTGGATGTACTTGGCTGCCGCGCTGGCATCTTTCCTGGCAGGATTTATGGTGGGTAAGTATGAACCCCTTCTCCCCAGTGCAGGGCTGGTGCTTCTCCCTGCCAGGCTGGGGAGGAATGAAAGAAAGCAAGCCTGGAGGCTGTGTGGCTCCCTGAGCTCCCTGCATGTGGCCAATTTCGTGAATTTCAGCCCAACTGGAAACGGAATGGAATGTCTTTTGACCTTCTTAATGAAGTGTGACTGAAATTCAGATTTATTAAAGGTTCAACGAGCTCAGGATACTTGTCAAGAGCTGTTAGGTCAGAGCTGTCATTCTCCACAGGCATGAAAAAGGTTGTTTCATTTGTCAAAACTAACAACTAATATGGACAGCACTGCAAAAACTGCCTTTCCTTCATCTTTACTAAATAAATATTTGTGGGATGTTTCTTGTGTGTCAGGCGCTGTGCTACGAACTAGATCACCCCAAGGAGAACAAGAAAGATAGAGGCCCATGCCTTGATGCGTAACATGTAGGAAAATGAAAAGAATATCTCATAAAACTAGTTTTAACCAACTCAAAATTACACTGCATAGCAGAATTTTAAGGACTTCTGCATTTAATATGAACATTTTTGTAAAGCTCACTTTGAGCTATTTCTGAAGTAAGGACATTTTTTTGGCTTCTAATTTTTGTAAAAGTCAAAAGCAATTATATACGTATATGGTAAGTATAGGTATATGTATTCTCTCCCGTAGGCTGGTTTGTTAAGCCTTCGAAAGAAACGACCACTTCACCGCCCTATCATCAAAGTATACAGTGGAAACTCATATCTGAGATGAAAGCTGAAAATATTAAATCATTTCTTCGGTAAGTTTGTTTTGATGTTTGGTCTTAAAAGTGTTGAAAATATTGCAGAGTGAGAAGTGTATTACAACTGGTTATATTCAGATGGGTAATCGTGTGAAATTATATGATCTCACATTAATTTATGGTAGTTTAAAATGTCCCTTTAAACCACTCAGCATAAAATGTATTTGAATGTTGCAGGAGTGGGTCTTTCTTCTCTAACTTAATTTACAGAAAAAGTATCTGGTTGCTTTATTAAGGGATGTTTCAACTTCATGTAACTTTAGACTTCAACTGAATGTTATTTCTTCCTTATGCCTGGGTTTAATCAGCAATTTTATTTGAAGGTCACATTCTGTCAGAAAGACTTAGATGGTTGTAAACTCAGATTTAAAGGAGGAGAGATTAAAGTTTCAGACTCTCTGCCACAAATTAAACTTTTGTCCCACATTGCAAATATCAGTAACACAAACTGGACAAAATAAGAGCAAAAGGATCAGTGCAAATCCACCAGCCTCTAAGTGTGAAAAAGCGTGACATTCAGGGAAATGATAACGAACTCTGTGAAGGCAGTCACCATATGTGTTTCTATATTCAGGCTCTCTCAAAGGAGTGTCATTATAATAAACAAAAACAACAAAAAACCCAACCAGCTTTATTGAAGTATAATTTACATAAAATGAACTGCATCTTTTAAAGCCTAAAATTTGATAGTATTGACGGATGTATAATCAACAAGATACAGAAATTTTACGTCATGCCCTCTGCAGTTTATTCCTATCTTCATCTTTAGCCCTACACAGTGACCCATCAGTTTTAGGTCACTGAGTTCCTTTGCATTTCTGAGAATTTTGTATAAATGGAATCATACAGTATGTACACTTTTGTGTCTTTCTTCTTTCATTCAGCATAATAATTTTGGAATTCATCCAGGTTGTTGCACATACCAGTTTATTGTTTTTTATTGCTGAGTTGTATTCCATTGTATGAATATCTTGTAATGTGTAGTTGTTGGACGGCTTGGGTTGTTTCTAGTTTTTGATTATTAACAAAGCTGCTATAAACGTGTATTTACAAGTTTTTGTGTGGACATATATTTTCATTTCTGTTGGAATGGCTGTATTGGATGATAAACATATGTTTAACTTTTTAAGAAAATAGATTTCAAAAGTGGGATCATTTTTACATTCTTACCCATTATGCATGAGTGCACCAGCTGTTGTACGTCCTGGTAAACACTTAGTTTTTTCTGTTGTGTTTTAATTTTAACTATGCTAATGAGTATATAGTGGTATCTTATTGTGGTTTCAATTTGCCTCTTCCTTATAACGAGTGTAATGTTAAACATTATGTGTATTGGACATTTGCATATTTTCTTTCATAAAGCATCTGTTCACATATTTTCCTATTTTAAACTGTTTTGTTTTCTTATTGAATTGTAGGAGTTCTTTATGTATTCTGGGTACAATTCCTTCGTCAGACATGTATTGTGAATATTGTCTTCTGTTCTATGGCCGGCCTTTTTTGTTAGTGGAGTTTTTGAAAGGCAGAAATTTTTAATATTGGTAAAGTCTAGTTGACCAGTTTTTGGTTTTCTGTTTCATATTCTGTGTTCTATCTAACTTTGCCTATTAGAAGTATGAAGATTTTCTTCTATGTTTTCTTTTAGAAGTTTTATAACTGTAGCTTGTATATTTAGGTCAGTGGTCACTTCAATTTTTGTGTATGGTATGATGTAAGAGTTGATTATTTTTAAATACAAATTCAATTATCCCTGCAACATTTGTTTTAAAAACATTTATTTCCACATTGAATTGCCTTGGCATCTTTGTCCAGAATTACTTGACCATATATGTGTGGCCTGGTTTTGGATTTTTACATTTTCTTTTATTGATCTGTATGTAGATCTCAACACTACACTCTGCTAGTTAGTGTAACTTAATAATTAAGTCTGAGAATCAGGTAGAGTTAATCCTACAAATTTTTCTTCTTAAAAATTGCTTTGACTATTTTAAGCCATTTGCATTTCCAAGTTTAGAATAACCTTCTGAATTCCTACAAAAAACTGGAATTTTTATTAAAGTTGCATCAACTCCATAGATGAATTTGGAAGAGAAGTGACATCTTTAAAATATGGTCTCAGTCTCTTTTTTTCATTTGTCATAAGGAGGTATTATAGTTTAACTTTTCACCCATGGAGGGGCATTTATGATCAGTTTTTGGATAATGATTAATGTTGCTATTAACATTTGTATATAGGTTTTACATGATCATAGGTTTTTATTTCTCTGGCATAAATGCCCAAGGGTAAAAATTGCTAAGTTGTATGGTAAATACATTTTTAGTTTTAGAAGAATTTGCCGAACTGCTTTCCAGTATAGCTGTATTATTTAATGTTTTCCATTGACATTATCATTATTTTTAATTTTACCCATTCTGATAGGTGCATAGTGATACCTCATTGTGATTTTAAACTGCAATCCCCTAATGATTAATGATATTGAACATCCTTTTATGTGCTTATTCATCATTTGTACTCTCTTCAGTGAAATGTCTGTTCATGTCTTTGACCTATTTTCTATTTGGATAGTTTTGTTTGTTTTTTGTTTTTTTGCTATTGGGCTTTGAGAGTTCTTTATATTTTCTAGATAAGTCTTTTTTGGCTTTGTGGTATTCATATATTTTTCTCTCTTTGTTATTTGTCTCTTCATGTCTTAACAGAGTTATTTGTAGATTAGAAGTTTTAAATTTTAATGAGGTCCAATTTATTGCTTTTTCCTTTTATGGATCATGCATTTGGGTTCATATCTAAGAACTCTTAGACTAGATCTCTTTTCCCCTCTCTTCCCTCCACTCCAAAATTTTATACTTTATATTTTACATTAATTTTGTGATTAATTTTTGCATAAGACATGATGTTTGGCTGGGGTACATTATTTTGCCTGTGGATGTCCCATTGCTCTGGCACCATTTGTTGAAAGGCCATTTAATTGCTTTTCACCTTTGTCAAAGATCAGTTGGTCATATTTGTGTGAGTCTGTTTCTGGGTTCTCTATTCTGCTCTACTAATCTGTGAGTCTACTCTCTGCCAGTCCCACATGGTCTTGATTATGGAATCTATTTAGTAAGCCTCAGCAATGTGTAGAATGATTCTTCCCATCTTATTTTTCTAAACAATTGTTTTAGCTATTCCATATCCTTTTCCTTTTCATATAAAATATAGAATAAACATACTTATGTCTATGCTGGGATTTTGATAGTAATCACACTAATCTTATAGAACAATTCGGGGTACTTGACATTTTTCCTGTGTCCAGTCTTCTAATCCATAAATATAGTCCCTCCAATTATTTAGATCTTCTTCGTTTGCTTTTATAACATTTTGTAATTTTTAGGATGCAGATCCTGGATATGTACTGTTCGATTTATATCCAAGTATTTCATTTTCTTTGGAGCAATTGCAGGTCATATTGTGTTTAATTTCAGTTTCCACATGTTTGTTGTTAATATATAAGAATACTGTTGATTTTTGTGTTCTTGTATCCTCTGGCCTGTCTAAACTCATGTCTTGAGGAGTTTTTGGTAGATTCATTGGGATTTTCTATGTAAACAATCATGCCATATTCAAAAGGGACACTTTTATTTCTACCTTTCCAAACTGTATGTGTTTTACATTTGGGGTTTTTGTTTGTCTGTTTGGTTTTTGTTTTGTTCTTATTGTGCTGACTGAAATTCCAGTAGTACATTGAATTGGAGTGAGAGTGAACATCTTTTGTTGTTGTTTCTAACCTTAGGGGGAAAGCATTCAGAATTTCATAATTAAGTGTGATACTGTCTATAGATTTGTTGTAGGGGCACCTATGTGGCTCAGTTGATTGAGCATCTGACTCTTGATTTTGGCTCAGGGCATGATCTTGGGGTCCTGGGGTTGATCCCCAGTGTGATGGGGCTCTGCGCTCAGCAGGGAATCTGCGTGGGATTCTCCCTCTCTTTCTCTACCTCTCTCCCTCCCACTGCCCCTCTTCCCACTCATGTTCCCTCTCTCTCTCAAATAAATAAAAATCTTAAAAAAAAATTAAAGATTTGTTGTAGATGCTCTTTATCAAGTTAAGGAAACTCCCCTCTATTCCAAGATTGCTAATAGTTTTTTTTTTTATCATGAATGGATATTGATATTGTCAAAAGTTTATTTTTCTGCATCAATTTCTATGATCATGATTTTTTTTTCTTTATCTGGTTAGGAATCTAGTGATTCCTTTACTGATTTGGGGGGCATGGGGATCAAATTATATCAAGAAGGGAGTCACAATCTCCAGGAATGTGAAAATGTATATTTTCCCCCATTAATTATGTAAATTTTTGCTTTATATATTATGAAGTCTACTCATTAGGCATATACATGTTAATGTTTTAAGTCTTTAAGACAGACTACCCTTTTATCTTTATGAAATGTCCTTCTTTATCTTCAGTAATCTCTATCTTTGAGTCTATTTTATTTGGTATAAATATTGCCACATCAGCTTCTTTCCATTTACATTTACATGGCGTATCTTCTTCCATCTACTTTAAAAATTTTTTTTAAAATATTTTATTTATTTATTTGACAGAGGGAGACAGTAAGAGAGGGAACACAAAGGAGGGGAGTGGGAGAGGGAGAAGCAGGCTTCCCGCTGAGCAGGGAGCCCGATGTGGGGCTCGATCCCAGGACCCTGGGATCACAACCTGAGCTGAAGGCAGACGCTTAACGACTGAGCCACCCAGGCGCCCCTTCCAACTACTTTCAATCTATTATTTTCTTTAGAATTAAAATGTATCCTCAATAGAGAGCATTTAATTGCCACATGGTATTCAATACATTTTGGTAACCTTAAAGTGTATCCTTTGTAGATAGCAGATAGTAGCAGTTTGCTATTATATTCCTTCTGGTAATCTTTGCCTTTTAATTTGAATATTTAGTCCATTAACAAATAATGTAACTATTGATATAGTTAAACTTAAGTCTACTAATTTATTGTTTTCTGTTTTCTCTGTTTATTTTCGTTTGTTCCTTCTCATTTTTTGCCCCTTTTTTGGTAAAATTTTATTTCATTTCTGCTTATCTTTTGGCTATACATCCTTGTAATTTTTTTTTTTTTTTAGTAGATGCTTTAGTGATTACACCATACATCTATAACTTATAACTCTTCATTCAATTTTTAGTTACTTTTTTGCAACTGAACATACAATACAGATAACTCACATTTCTATATTGCTATTTACCCTCTCCTCTATCATCCTTTGTGTATAAACCTTGCAAAACAATTTTTCTTTGAACACTTATGTATTAAGAGCCCATTAAGAGTTAAAATAGTATTTTATATCTTATTTCCAATGTTCTTCATTTGTTTCTGAAAATTTGGGTTATCCCATGGTATTTCTATTTAGTCTGAATAACTTTCTTAAGCATTTTCTGTAATGTGGGGTCTGGTTGTGACAAATACTCTTAGTTTTTCTCTATCTATAAAATCCTTACTTTATCATAATTCCTGAAGCATACTTTTTCTGTATATAGACTTCTAAGATGACTTTGTTTTCTTCTCCTTTCAGAACTTTAAATGTTTTTTCATTGTCTTCTGTCTAGTATTGGCATCTGATGAGAAGTTTACAGTCCTTTAAGTTACAGAACATGTCATTTTATCTTTAATTTTGAGTAGTTTTACTGTGTGCCTAGGTATCGTTTTCCTCAAATTTATTCTGTTTATGGCTCTCTGAGATTCTTGACTTTGTAAGAAAGACATTTCTTATGTCTTTCACTAATTTAGGAAGGTTTTATTCATTATTTCTTAAAATTTTCTGCAGCATTCTCTTTACCCCTTCTGAGACTCCACTTAAACCCTAGAATCAAATAAACAAAGTGCATACAGTATGGCGTGTTTCTTCCCCATCTATCCTGTGATATAATGAAGTCATGAAGTTCCATCTTAGTTTCCATGGATGAACTATAGCAAACTATAGTAATGAGGTATGAAAACAGCTATACTGTTTTTGTGAAATTGAGCTGATTTATGACATTAGATATTAGGAAGCAAATACAAAATGTCTGTTTTGAGGTGCTTGTTTAGAGATAAAGGAAAATAATCAGGCAGCTAAGATGCATGTCATTTAAAAAGAGACTCAGTCTTTATTTTTCCTGCAATACAGCAAAATGGCAGAATATCTTATCAGTTAAGATAGAATGCTTATATTTTAAATTTGTAAGTTAAAAGACCAAGTATAATGTTAACACTATTGAAGTCTGTCTGCAGCACATCATGAAGTGTCCAAAAGAAGTCACCTAGAAAATTAGATGTCAGAAGCGAAACTTAATAATGTTCTTGACCATTAAAATTTGTTTATTACTATTTTCCTTTAATGTGTATATAGCATAAGGTGATAAGTTATGTGTAAATAGTTTATATGATTATATTTTTGGAGTGCAATACAGAAATTGCATTCAGGGGTGCCTGGGTGGCTCAGTCGGTTAAGTGTAGGCCTTGGGCTGAGGTCATGATCCCAGGGTCCTGGGATCAAGCCCTAAATCGGGCTCCCTGCTCAGTGGGGAGCCTGCTTCTCTCTCTCTCTCTCTCTGTGTGTGCCACTCCCCCTGCTTGTGCTCACTCTCTGTCTCTGTCAAATAAATAAAATCTTTAAAAAAATTGCACATCAAGAATGACAAGAATAGAAGTAGAGTGAAATACATTGAATTAGGAACTTGAGACTTTAATGAATGAGGAGTGACCCACAGTTTTGACAGCACCCAGAAGGTGGTGACTTTTGGTATGAACTTTAAAAGAGTTGTTATTTTTGAAAGAAGAAAAAGGAAAAATATTTGAAAGAACCAAGGGAGAGTAAGAACTCCTAGCAGATCTTCAAGCCCTGAGAATATGTGGGGGCATGGGAAATAAAAAAGCTTGCAGGTGAGCAGGGTCCTCTGAGGAAACCAATTAAGGCAAGGAAGTCATGCAAGCATTCAGAGAAGTGGCTGAGGGTTAAAGAATTGTTAATCACAGATGTAGAAGGTTTATGATCAGTGAAAGAGCCTTGGAGGGAGAGGAGTTCAAGATTAGATTAATGGTTCTAATGTAATGGGAAGAATTTGGTTTCTCCCCAGCCACTTTCTTGTTGGCAGTGCCTCAACTCTTCAGTGTTCATCCTCCTTCATGTATTCAGTAAGGGTTACATTCCTTCCAGCCCAGGAGTATCTTGATTGGTCCATAATCCATTCATTATAACTCTTCCCTCTGGCAATGATTCATTTTAAAAGAGGTGTATAATCTATTATGTCCAATGAAATGAAAGAAAAGTGTAGCTGTGATCTTCTACTATGTTTTCCTCTGTTAAAAGAAATACTGAAGAGGAAACAGATGTTCTTGTCTGTACTTGTTTCTTCTGAGCATTACAATGTGAATATATGATGCCTGGAACTGTACCCACCTTGGGACCAGAAGGAGAAATTTAGAAATGAGCTAAAGGATGTTACACACTGCTGCCTTTTTTTTTTTTTTTTTGCTTCTGTATTCCATTTCAGTGGATTCTTTATTTTTTTAGAGAGAGAGAGCACGCATATGTGTGTGTACATGGGGTGGGAGGAGGGGCAGAGGAAAAAGAAAAAGAATCTTAAGCGGGCTCAATGACCAGCAGGGAGCCTGACGTGGGGCTCAATCTCACAACCCTGAGATCATGATCTGAACCCAAATCAAGAGTTGGATGCTTAATGGATTGAGCCACCCAAGCACCCTTCAGTGGCTTCTTTAAAAGATGGATGACAAAAGCTCATGGTTAATCCTCCATCTTAATTTAAGGAAATACTTTTTTTCCTTAATTATAAGAATGTTATCTGTTCATTGTAGAAAATAAAACAATAATTATATAAAGTAGAAATTAAATATCTCAAGCCCTACTATTTTAATGCATACAAAATAATTTCTGTCTATAAACACTGTAATACTTTTTTAAAACAAATATTCTAAGATATTAAATATTCATAACCTGTAGATTTCATTTAATGATATAGAAAGGGAAAGCTTCACAGGAAAAGATGCTGGAGGAGTCCTCATGGATGATGAGTAGCTTGCAGTTGGGAAAGGAGAATGAAAGAAGTGGTGACAGGGAGACTCATGTAGATGGGACAGTATTTATGTCTCAGAGAAGACCTTGTGCAAAGGTAATAGGTGGTCACTGCAGGAGGAAAAGGAGTCTACCAAATGCCATAGGGTGGAGAATTTTATACAGAGAGTAATGGGAAATGAAAATGAAAAGGTGGAAGGGTGGGTCAGATCAAAAAGGGCCCAATATGCCATGTTTGAATGTGAACTTCATAAAAATGCACAGTATAGGGAACCTTACAAGAAGTTCAGGCAACTGAATAATATCAGATGAATGATTTCAAATTATCACTATTTCTCAAGGTCAGACAACTATGACTTTCATATTTTAGTTCAATCATTTAATGACTGAAATTATGAACAAATTTTTTAACTATTCTCTCAGTTTCCTTATTTGCAAAATGAGGACAATGGGAGAAAGATTGTGACGACTCAGTGAGACAACCCAGGTGAAAGTGCTTGGTCACATGCCTGGCATATAGTAAGTTTTTAGTAAATGCCAATTTTCCTTTACTGCCTGTCTTGTTTTGGTTGTGTCTTGGTTGGCTAAAAACACCAATTTACAAAAGTATTATTATCTGAAGGGGTGGTGGGGTGGAGAATGGTGAGAAAATATTTTTAAAATATTATTTACTCTCATGTAAAATGAATCTTTAGAAAAACTATTTTTGTGAGGTCACTTAAATGCTACAACCCGTTTATACTCAGAACCAAAGAACATTGCCCAAATTCAAGTCAACAAACCCGTTGTATAATTTCTAGATAACAGGTAGGAACTAAGCAGTAGGCAATATAAAAATAAAAATGCATGGACTTTTAACTTCAATGAGATCAATAAACAACTGAATAAATATGACAAGACAACAGTGGAAATATATGTTAGACTGCCTAACTGGTCTCTGGCAAACATTATGAACTGCCCCCACACCGCCCAAAATATCCTCCCTTACTAATGATCATCAAGAAGGAGCACTATTGGCATAGAGGCCCTGACATTCTTCCAAGGTGTCTTCTCATACCTGCTTATTGCATGTGTTTTTACCATGGTATATGTTCTTTTCTGGGGGAGCATAATGTGAATAGTATAGTTACACACAAATAAACTTTAAATTGGCATCCCTAGAAATTGGTATTACTAGCTGTTTTTTTTTTTTTTATCATTGATGTAGAAATGACAATACCTAAAGTATGGGTGATGCATCTAGAATAGTCCTTAGGCACATTGTCTGAATATGGTTTTTAACTCCCACTTGTATCTTACTTTCATTGTAGTTCTTTTACAAAGCTCCCTCATCTGGCAGGAACAGAACAAAATTTACTTCTTGCCAAGAAAATCCAAACCCAGTGGAAGAAATTTGGACTGGATTCAGCCAAGTTGGTTCATTATGATGTTCTCCTATCCTACCCTAATGAGACAAATGCCAACTATATATCAATCGTGGATAAACATGGAATTGAGGTGATGTGGAATTGTTGGTACTTTTTGTATTTTATAACCTCAGTTGTTTATGTGAATTGGGATGTAGGGTCAAGTAAGAATAGAAATTGTTTAATAGTGCAGTGCAACTCATATTTTTTAGAAAAGTTGATAAGTTGTAAACTAATTATTCAGTGTCTACTGTGTGTTAGGCATAGTGCTTAGTCTTAAAGCCAGAATGAAGCTTAGGAACAGGATTCTTTTTGCTTTAAGTAAGGCAAGGCAGATGTTGGAACATGTCATTTTAAATCAGTATGGTGAGTGTTATAAAGAGTATGTTTTGGGTTCTTTATACAAAAAAGGTTCACTTAGTCTAGCCTGGGACTTAGAGAAGGTTTCCTGAAAGAAAACCTTTCTGATATGTGAGTCATGGAGCAATGCTAAGGAGTTAACCACATGAAAAAATAAAGTAAAAGAATCCAGGTAGAAGAGAAAATACTGGCAAAGGTTTGGAGACCCATAACTAGCTTAGTATTATTCGGGAACTTAAAAATTTTCTGTGTTTCAAAAAATGTCAAGTACAAAGTGGGCCACAAAAAGAGATAAGCCTGTATATATGTTTTGGGGACAGGTCATAGAACAGCTTATATGTCCTAAGGGGCTTAGAATTCAACTTCAGTCAATGGAAACCATTGACAAGTCCTAAGCAATGGAAGGATGTGGCTAGAGAGGCATAAATTTTTAGATAGTTTGGGCCATCTACAGGTTAGACCTTGACTCGGCAAGGAGTGCAAGTTGGAGTCTTACAAGAATAGTCCAGGTAAAAGATGATGAAGCCCTGAATCAGGATGTTAGTAGGAATGAAGAAGAAATAGTTAGGAAGCAATATTAGTGGCAGTTGATTAGTGATTGACTGGAGTAAGGTGGTGAAGACAGAGTTGAGGATGACTCCTAGGTGTCTGGTGTGGGTGGCTGGCTAGTGATGCTGCTGGTAATAGCAAGGAATGCTGAACAAGAAGCAGGCCTGGGGTGAGGGATGAGAAATTCAAAGTAGGACATGTTGAGTTTGGACATCCAAGCTGAAATAACCACCAGGCCCTTAAATATACATGTCTGGAAAGGTGGGCCTTATAAGCATATGGGCTATGGATAAAATTTTGGGAGTCAATGAAATCTGAGAGGAAGGGAGTATAAAATGAGGCAGACAGTAGACTGGGGATAAAATACAGGAAACATTTAAATGCATTTGAAAAAAAAGGAGTCCAACAAAGAAAGTTGAAAAGAAATCATTGGAAAAGGAGGAGGAGAATCATGGGGTGCCACCTTCAAAGCCCTGTTTTTATGTGGGAGCTTCTAGTCACCTCAGATTGCATGCATTTTGTAGAAGTTGCTACTATTTTGAAGGCAGTAAGAACGATAAAGCTCTTCCTCATTGTTGCCAGTGGAATTTACCTGATTAGTTACTGAACCTAGTTTCAGAATGCTTAATCGTAAGTGTATACTTGGGGGCATTATTCTTTAATAACAATTAGGAATACTCTCCAACTTATGTATTTCAATTCTTCCTAGATTTTCAATACCTCCTACCTTGAGCCACCACCAGATGGATATGAGAATGTTACAAATATTGTTCCACCATATAATGCTTTCTCAGCCCAAGGCATGCCAGAGGTAAAACAAGACTTTTTTGACTCAACTCTTTGAACTTTCCTTTGTTATTTAAAGCCTATATAAAGGACTAAAACCAAGGAGATTAGGTAAACCATACATGCTGATCCATACTTTGAGATTCAGTGTGATGAACACCCTTTCTAAAAATAATTTAAGAAAAAGAAAAAAATAGAATACGTAAAAATCATAGCCTGGTGAAGCAGATGCCACTCTGAAATAACAAAGAACCTGCTGAACACATCTTTAATTCAGTAACGTCAGTAGATGTCTTTACAAGCTCTTTTCCTTTGTTCATAGTCTGATTTTTGTTGTAGATTTATAGATCATGCCATAGAAGTGGTATTTAATTAATTACTTAATTAATTCTATGCTTGAAAATTAAACATGGTTGGGATTTCTTTTTTCTTTTAAAAAATCTCCTTTGTTTCACCTATTCCCCAACTTTCTCCCCTCTGGCAACCCTCCATTTGTTATTTGTATTTTAAAGTCTGTTCATTTTTGTTTAGATTCTGCATGTAAGTAAAATCATATGGTATTTGTCTTTCTCTGACTTATTTCTCTTAGCATAATACACTTTAGGTCTATCCATGTTGTTGCAAATAGCAAGATCTCATTTTTTTTTTAAATGTCTGAGTATGTGTACACACACACACACACACACACACTCACACCCCCCACTTCTTCCTTATCCATTCATCCATCAATGGACACTTGGGTAAATAATGACGCAGTAAACATAAGGGTGCCTATATTTTTCTTAATTAGTGTTTTTGCTTTCTGAGGGTAAGTGCCCAGTAGTAGAATTACTGGATCATATGGTATTTCTATTTTTAATTTTTTGAGGAACTTCCATACTGTTTTCCACAGTGGTTGCACCAATTTACATTCCCACCAACAGTATGTAAGGATTATTTTTCTCTACATCTTTGCCAACACCTGTTATTTCTTGTCTATTTGATGCTAGCCATTCTGACCCATGTGAAGTGATATCTCATTGTGGTTTTGATTTGCATTTCCCTGATGATTGGTTATGTTGAGAATGTTTTTATGTGTCTGTTGCCCATCTGTATATGTTCTTTGGAAAATTGTCTATTTGGGTCTTTTGCCCATTTTTAAAATTTTATTTTATTTTGTTATGTTAATCACCATACATTACATCATTAATTTTTGATGTAGTGTTCCATGATTCATGTTTGCATATAACACCCAGTGCTCCATGCAGTATGTGCCCTCTTTAATACCCATCACCAGGCTAACCCATCCCCCGGCTAACCCATCCCCCACCCTCTCCCCTCTAGAACCCTCAGTTTGTTTCTCAGAGTCCATAGTCTCTCATGGTTCGTCTTCCCCTCTGATTTCCCCACCTTCATTTTTCCTTCCTACTATCTTCTTCTTCTTTTTTTAACATATAATGTATTATTTGTTTCAGAGGTACAGGTCTGTGATTCAACAGTCTTACACAATTCACAGTGCTCACCATAGCACATACCCTCCCCAGTGTCTGCCACCCAGCCACCCCCCCAACAATCCAGCAATTCTCAGTTTGTTTCCTGAGATTAAGAATTCTTCATATCAGTGAGATCATATGATACATGTCTTTCTCTGATTGACTTATTTCACTCAGCATAATCCCCTCCAGTTCCATCCACGTTGTTGCAAATAGCAAGATTTCATTCCTTTTGATGGCTACATAACTGTATATGTATACCACATCTTTTTTTTTTAAGATTTTATTTATTTATTTGAGAGAGAGAATAAGAGATAGAAAGCACGAGAGGGAAGAGGGTCAGAGGGAGAAGCAGACTCCCTGCTGAGCAGGGAGCCCAATGTGGGACTCGATTCCGGGACTCCAGGATCATGACCTGAGCCAAAGGCAGTCGCCTAACCAACTGAGCCACCCAGGCGCCCTATATACCACATCTTCTTTATCTATTCATCTGTCGATGGACATCTTAGCTCTTTCCATAGTTTGGCTATTGTGGACATTGCTGCTATAAACACTGAGGTGCACATACCCCTTCGGATTACTACATTTGTATCTTTGGGGTAAATACCCAGTAGTGCAATTGCTGGGTCGTATGGTATCTCTATTTTCAACTTTTTGAGGAACCTCCATACTGTTTTCCGGAGTAGCTGCACCAGCTTTCATTCCCACCAACAGTGTAGGAGGGATCCCCTTTCTCTGCATCCCCACAAACATGTGTCGTTTCCTGACTTGTTCATTTTAGCCATTCTGACTGGTGTGAGGTGGTATCTCATTGAGGTTTTGATTTGGATTTCCCTGATGCCGAGCGATGTTGAGATCAGTGGAACAGAATAGAGAGCCCAGAAATGGACCCTCAACTCTATGGTCAACTCATCTTTGACAAAGCAGGAAAGAATGTCCAATGGAAAAAAGACAGTCTCTTCAACAAATGGTGTTGGGAAAATTGGACAGCCACATGCAGAAGAATGAAATTGGACCACTTCCTTACACCACACACAAAAATAGACTCAAAATGGTTGAAAGACCTCAGTGTGAGACAGGAGTCCATCAAAATCCTAGAGGAGAACACAGACAGCAACCTCTTCGACCTCAGCCTCAGCAACTTCTTCCTAGAAACATCGCTAAAGGCAAGGGAAGCAAGGGCAAAAATGAACTCTTGGGATTTCATCAAGAAAAAAAGCTTTTGCACAGCAAAAGAAGCAGTCAACAAAACCAGAAGACAAGCGACAGAATGGGGGAAGATATTTGCAAATGACATATCAGATAAAGGGCTAGTATCCAAAATCTATAAAGAACTTCTTAAACTCAACCCTCAAAGAAAAATGATCCAATCAAGAAATGGGCAGAAGACATGAACAGACATTTTTCCAAAGAAGACATTCAGATGGCCAACAGACACATGAAAAAGTGCTCTTTTGACCATTTTAATCTGATTATGTATGTATGTACGTATTTTTTGGTATTGGGTTGTATAAGTTCTTTATATAGTTTGGATATTAACCCCTTACTGGATATATCATTTACAACTATCTTTCCCCTCTTTAGTTAGGATTATGGTTTTCTTGGCTGTGCAAAAGCTTTTATTTTGCTGTAGTCCCAATAGTTTATTTTTGCTTTTGTTTCCTGTGCCCAAGGAGACATATCTAGAAAAATGTTGTTAAGGCTGATGTCAAAGAAATTACTTCCCCTGTGTTTTCTTTTAGGGGTTTTATGGTTTCAGGTCTTATATTTAGGGGTTTAATCCATGTTTAATTTATTTTTGTGGATGGTGTAAGAAAGTATTTTGGTTTCATTCTTTTGCATATGGCTGTTCAGTTTTCCTAGTACCATTTATTAAAGACACTTTTTCCTCACTGTATATTCTCGCCTCCTTTGTCATAGATTATTTGATTGTTAAGTGTGGGTTTACTTCTGGACTTTATTCTGGTCCATTGATCTATGTTCTGTTGTCATGCCAGTACTATGCTGTTTTGATTACTACAGCTTTGTAATCTATCTTGAAATTTGGGATTGTGATACCTCCAGCTTTGTTCTTTCTCATGCTTGCTTTGGCTAATTGAAGTCTTCTGTGGTTCCATACACATTTTAGCATTATTTTTCATAGTCCTGTGACAAAGGCTGTTGGTATTTTGATAGGGATTGCATGGAATCTGTAGATTGCATTGGGTAATATGGACATATTAATGATATTAATTGATATTCCAATCTGTGAGCATGGAGTATCTTTCCATTTATTTGTGTCTTCAATTTCTTTTATCAGTATTTTATAGTTTTCAGAGTACAGGTCTTTCAACTCCTTGGTTAAGTTTATTCCTAGGTATTTTATTATTTTTGGTGCAGTGGATTGTTTAAAACATAGTTTGGATTTTTTAAATGATCTCTATTTCCTCTGGTTCAGTATATGCTGATAATCTCTTCAAAACGGAACACACTGTTTAAAGTGTTACATATTGACATTTTTTCAATTCAAAGTATTGAAATATTTTCTAAAAACATACAGAATTAGCAAGGATCTGTTTTTCAAGCCCAATCCAGGAAAGATAACCTTTGATGATGTGGTATTGTGGAGCAAACTTACTCATTGGTTTTCCCTTTAATTGTTGCAGTATTCTATATATTTTTAATTTTTTTCTTTTCCTTACAGGGTGATCTTATATATGTGAACTATGCTCGTACTGAAGATTTTTTCAAACTGGAAAGAGAGATGAACATCAACTGTAGCGGAAAGATTGTTATTGCAAGATATGGAAAAATCTTCAGAGGAAATAAAGTATTGTATCACCTCCTTTTCTAGAGAGAAGAGGATAGTGTATATCCTCTAAATGTAAATGCAGCTTGCACTTTTTTTTTTTGGAATTACCTCAATATATGTATTTAAAAAATCTTCGTATGTGCCACGGTTGCACAGGAAATCCTGTTTTTATTTTACCTCACTTATCTAGAAATGGAAATTACTTTTATTACAGAAACAAAATTTGCTTTTTAAAATTTTTTGAGGGAAATTTTATGTAAACTGAAAACTGAAAGATCCCCTACATTGCCCATTTTATTTGCCCAGACATGATCAATCTTCACAGCTTTTCTTAGACCTAATTCTGTGACATATGAGTATAAATATCTTTTTCTATATACTAATTTTACAAATATTATACAGCTTTTTTACAAAGATGGCATCATATACTATATATAACTTTATTTTCTCACTTAGCAATAATATATAGGTATTCCTCTATGTCAAAACATTGAGAGTTGTATGATGTGTGGTTACAAGTATAGGACTCTAGATTCTTACAACATAGATTCTCGTCTAGTCTAGGCTCACTGTTCTCTCAGTCTTTTACTGTGAGCAAGTTATCTAATCTTTCTCTGCCAGTGTTTCCTCATACATAAAGTGAGAATGCTAATAATAGCATTAATCTCCTAGAATCCTTATGAAGATTAAATAACTTTATGTTTGAAAACACTTATGATAGTGCCTGGTACTTAGGTTAATTCTGTATAGCTGCTTATTAAGTAAATACCTTGTATTTTGATGGGTACATAATACTCTGTAGAAGTGAGAAGCAGTTTATTCAAGCTTGGCTTGAATTTATTACTATTAAAAATAATTCCACTGTGAACATCTTGGTCCATATGCACTTGAACATTTATGTGAAGGTTTTTATAGTATGGATTCCTAGAAATTTAATGGTTGAGTCAACATGTATATTCTTTCAAAATTTTGGAAGGCATCAAATTGCCCTTCAAAAAAAGTTGTGACAGATTGTACTCCCATTCATATTATAAGAATGCTTTCTGAATATTGCAGTGTGTTTTAGTTAATCAAGACTTATTGTTATCTATTTTTGCTACAGTATTTCTGGTAATGAATCAAGAATCTTGCAGGAAAGATTTTCCTATGTGATCAGTTTGGATTGTTAGAAAATATTTACAAAACATAGTGAGCAATTTTTCACACACTCTGTATAGAACTTTAAATTATTTTAGTTCCACAGATATTTCTATGATGTGCCATTCTTTGGAGGGTGGATAGTTAAAAGTAAACAAGACATGGTCCCTTTTCTAAAAACATCCTCAGTCTAGCAAGGGAGAAAGATATTTTAAAGATATTTTTAAATACTAGGACCCATTCTATAACAAATATGTACAAAATAGAAGAGGTAGAAAGAAGGGAGACATTAATTTTGCAGTTTTAGCCACAATAGGAATGTTTCACAGAAGAGACAATAACTTGTCTGGAGTTGTAGAGAATAAATGAGAGTTGTTAGCTCCCCCCTGGAGAGAAATTGTATTCAAGGCATAAAGAACTGAATGTCTAGCAGCATGATAAAAAGTAGTGTCTCAAGTTCCTTACATTATTAAACTGATTTTCTCTTAGATGAATTAATCATCTGCCAGTTCTACATTATGGATTGCACATTGCCCCTGCAGGTTAAAAATGCCATGTTAGCAGGAGCCATAGGAATCATCTTGTACTCCGATCCAGCGGATTACTTTGCCCCTGCAGTACAGCCGTATCCTAAAGGATGGAACCTTCCTGGAACTGCAGCACAGAGAGGGAATGTATTAAATTTGAATGGTGCTGGGGACCCGCTCACTCCAGGCTATCCAGCTAAAGGTAATGGATGGGCCTGTCCTGGTTCACCCATTTTTGCAAAAATACTACCTGCCCTTACAGAAGGCATAAAAGCAAACATCTACAAAATAACCTTAAAACTGTATACAATTACAATATTTTGTATTACTATTGCTAGGAATTAAAAACATTTCCCATATATTACTTTCGTTTCAAATTTTCATGATGTGTGGACATGGAGAGGGAAGGGCCCGTTGAATTTCTCTCTACTTTTAGCAGAGGTGCAGAAACATAGATCCCCATACCCTAAGTAATATTGCTTTTACCAAACTAGAACTTTGGTTTTCTGAATTGCTTGGTGATTTTAGACTTCTCTAGATATCATATGTTTGTATTTTTTTTAAATATCAGTGAGTTTTTGGTGTTGTCAAAACTTTTCACATTTTACATGTTAAACATCTGTGTAACTGCCTCCACAATTAAGATAATGAACATATCCATTACCCAAAAAGTTTTCACTCCTCTCTTACAATACTTTCCTCCAAACCCTTCCAACCCACTCTCTGCCAGTCCCTGAATCACTGATCTGCTTTCAGTCAGCATAATTATTTCGAGATCCATCCGTGTTGATGTCTGTGTCAATAGTTCATTCCTTTTTGTGCTGAGTAGTATTTCATTGAATGGATACACTATAGTTTGTTTATTCATTTACTTGTTGATGGACATTCAGATCATTTTTAGTTTGGGGACTCTTATACATAAAGCTGCTATGAAGTTGATACAAATCTTTGTATATACATATGCTTTTATTTCTCCTGGGTAAATATACAGTAATCAAACGACTGGATAATATGATAGATGCATATTTAACTTTTGGAGAAATTTTCAAATTGTTTTCCAAAGTGTTTTTACCATTTTACATTCTAGCAGCAGTGCATGAGTGTTCCAGTTGCTATATCCTTGCTACCTTTAGTTTGGTCAGTCTTTTTAATTTTACATTCAAATAGATATGTAAATCCTCCAAGTTAACATTTTTTTCAAAGTTTTTGGGGCTATTCTAGGTCCTTTCCATGTGAATTTTAGAACCAGCTTACTAATTTCCATTGAAAAGTGTCCTGGGAATTTGATTGAGATTGAATTAAATCTATAGGTCAATTTGGGGAGAACTGGCATGTTAAAAAATAATGAATATTTTGATCCATGCACATGGCACAACTCTCCATTTACTTAGGTATTCTTTAATTAACTCCACATGTTTGCAGTTTTACTGTATGGCTTGTGCACATCTTTCTCATTTACCATACGCATTTCCTAGTTGTATGCTTTTTAATAATACATTTTAAATTTCAATTTTTATATGTTCAATGCTAGTAAGTAGAAATACTTTGTAGAAGAAATACATCAGTCTTGTATCCTGCAAGCTTGTTAAACTTACTAAATAGTTCTAGTACGTTTCTATATTACATAGACGATCATGTTTTCTGTAAACACGGTTTTCTTTTTTTCCAGTCTGGATGCCCTTTATTTTTAAAATATGTTTGCCTAGTATACTGGCCAGTACCTCTCATACATTTCTGGAAAAAGGTGTTAGAGGAGATGTCCTTACCTTGTTCCTGCCTCAAGAAGAAAAAATCCAGTCTTTCTCTCTTAAGTATGATATAGCTGTAGGTTTTATTTTAGATTCTTTTTGTCAAGCTGGGGAAGTTTACTTCTAATGGGCTAAGAGATTTTATCTTAGCACATTTATCTAGAAATGTATAATTAATTTTGTCAAATGCTTTCAGTGAGTCTTGGGATGATAATAAGTTGTTATATTACTTTCATTAAATTATACTAATAGATTTTTGAATGTTAAATCAACCCTCCCTTCCTAGGATAAACTCTTAGTCACAATACATTATCATTTTATATGTTGGTATATCATTGAATTTAAAATTTTGTTAAGCATATCTGTTTTTAGTCATGAGGGATATTGGCCTACAGATTTATTTTCTTGTAGTATTTCGGTCTCATTTTGGTATCAGAGTAATGTTGGCCTTATGGGGTGAGTTGGGAACTATTTTATCTTTGTTGTTTTGTAAGAGTTTATATAGAATGAGTCATTTTTGCTTATAAACATTTGGTAGAATTCCCTAGGAAATCTGGGCCTGAAGTTTTGTTTGTAGGCATGTTTTTAACTACACATTCAATTTTTAAAATAGGTATGTGGCTATTTAGGCTGTCCATTTACTGTTGAATGAGCTTTGGTAGTTTATGTCATCCACAGATTTTGTCCATTTTCTCTTAAGTTAAATTTAATAGAGTTGTTCATAATATTCTCATTCTGTATGCATGTGTGTGTGCATGCATGCATGCATGTGCAGGTACTAGGGTGATATTCTGTTCTTTATTCCTGATCATGGCAGTTTCTCTCTCTCTCTTCTTTTCTTTCTTTTTTTCTTCTTTTTTTCCTGAATTGTCTTGCTAGAGATTTATCAGTTTTATTGATCTTCTCAAAGAACCAGCTTTGGATTTTATTCATAATTGCTACCATTTTTCTGTCTCCTATTTCTTGTATTTCTGCTCTGATCTTTATAATATTATTTCCTTATTTGTTTTGACAACAAACAAATAAGAATTTGTCCTTATTTTTGCCTTATTTGTTCTTCTTTTCTATTTTCTTGAGATGGAATCTGATGTCATTTGATTGAAATCTTCCTTTGTTTCTAAGATAGGTGTTTTAGTGCTATACTACTATTTTGGCTGAAAGCCAAAGTCCCAATGAGGTTGTAAGTCTGACAGTACTTTTTAGTCTTCCTTTAAAGAGAATATTGTGTTACTATTTGAATAAGATCTTTATTATTCCCAAGAGCTCATAAATTCCCTTTAATTTTTTTTTTCAGTTACATCTAGTTTCAGAATTTGGGACACATTTTCCAGGCAACTAGTTAACTGAAGCTTCCCTAAGAAGGATTCAAGATCTCCTTGAGGAAATAAAATATTCTTGTAAAATTTAAGAGAATTACATGAACTATCAAAACAAATTTGGAAATTTATAATCCCCATAGTTGATTTTACATTAAAATTTGAATGATTTAATTTCTTACTGTTGAATTAAATAGTCTGTATTAGGTAAAACAATCATTGGCTTTGGGGGAACTTTAAATTTTGACATAATTTCAAACATGTAATAAATCTGAGATAGTAATAAATTTCTTTATACCCCTTGCTCAGATTTTTCAGCTGTTTTCATTTTATGCAATTAATTTCTGCAGAGTACACCTTTAGACTTGATGTCAAAGAAGGAGTGGGAATCCCAAGGATCCCTGTACATCCTATTGGGTATAAAGATGCAGAAATATTACTACGGTATGATTTTCTAATTGGATATGAGATTTAAGATATTTTACACTAATGTGTCCATTTTCTTGTCTAAAACCAATGTAATCTAATTATGTTAGAATAAATTCTGGTTGTATACCTGAAACCAATGTTATATGTCACTTATACCTCAAAAAATTAAAAATAAGGAAACAAAGTAGGAAAATGAGTTTTAAAAATGTCTTATTTCAAAATAGTTCCTGAAGTAGGAATAACAGAGTACAACAAGAAATGACAAGAAACCTTTAGTCTGCTACAGATGAAAGTCTCAAGTGTAAAACTGTGTCTAAGATAAAAATGCTGATTGGAGATTTTTCAAATAGTTGGATTTTCTTTGATATTCATTTGATGTTTGTACTTGACCTGTATTTTAAAAATATTACAGTGCCCACCACTTACTAGATGTGTGAAGTTGGACCAATTACTTAATCTTTCTCTGATTCAGTTTCCTTATCTGTGAAATGAGGATAGTCATAGTTTCTCCCTGGTAAGGTTATTATGAGGAGGAGATGAGATCAATGCAAGTGTGTAAAGCATCTAGTATATAGTAAACATTTAATTAATGTTTGCTATTCTTGCATTCTATTATTGATGTTATTTCACAAATCTCCAACTTTAATTTTTTTAGATGTCTGTACCAATACAATTTAATAATTGCTTTTTGAGTGCCCACTAGGTAACCAGCAGCTTCTCTAGAAATTAATTTCTTCTCCTTAACATAGTCATGAATTTGCTATTTTCACTATTTCTTAGATCTAATGCTTCCCTACATAAAGTCAAAAGTAAGGAGGCTGATGCTTCTCATTTCCTTTCCCTATTTTTTTTTCCCTAAGCCCTCTTACCACAAACATATTAAGTACTTCATATATTTCAATTTTGGCTCTCTTGCTAAAATGTAAGTTCCACAAAGAAAGGGAATATTGACAGTACTGGGCTCAATAAATATTTGTTAAATGTATGAATGAAATATCTCATTATCAGGCTTCATGATTTCTTCTAAGAAATTGTGATGCTCAGCCTTTTTCTGTCATTTTGATTTTCTCTCAACAGTCACATAGGAGGAACTGCTCCACCAGATGACAGCTGGAAGGGAAGTCTTAATGTGCATTATAACATTGGGCCTGGGTTCTCAGGGCATGATTCCTTCAGGTAATTTTATATTACTTTAATAGACTGGAAAAGTTTTGTATGTTTAATGGAAAAATGTCAAGATAACTGTTCTGCCAGGTATAATTTGCTTGTCTTTTTCTCATTTTTCATGAACAATTGATCATTTTATATCACTTAAGATGTACTTATACGATCATGTACTGAATTCTTCCAGTAGTGATATCACATTTGTTTATAAAGTCTTAAATATGACTATATTTGAGTTTAAATTTAACATTTTAACTTCCTATTTCACCTATTCCTATTTTGTTTTTTTGTGTTTTCCCCCTTTTTTAAAATTTTTTAAATTTTATTATGTTAATCACCATATATTACATCATTAATTTTTTTATATTATATTAATCACCATACATTACATCATTAGTTTTTGATGTAGTGTTCCATGATTCATTGTTTGCATATAACACCCAGTGCTCCATTCAGTACCTGCCCTCTTTAATACCCATCACCAGGCTAACACATCCCTCTACCCACCTCCCCTCTAGAACCCTCAGTTTGTTTCTCAGAGTCCATAGTCTCTCATGGTTCATCTCCCATCCGATTTCCCCCCCTTCATTTTCCCCTTCCTGCTTTTTCTTTTCTTTTTTTTTTAAACATATATTATTTGTTTCAGAGGTACGGAACTGTGATTCAACAGTCTTAGACAATTCACAGTGTTTACCATAGCACATACCCTCCCCAGTGCCTATCACCCAGCCACCCTATCGCTCCCACCCCCCACCACTCCAGCAACCCTCAGTTTGTTTCCTGAGATTAAGAATTCCTCATATCAGTGATGTCATATGATACATGTCCTTCTCTGATTGACTTATTTCACTCAGCATAACACCCTCCAATTCCATTCATGTTGTTGCAAATGTTGAGATTTCATTCCTTTTGATGGCTGCATAATATTCCATTGTATCTATATACCACATCTTCTTTATCCATTCATCTGTGGATGGATATTTTGGCTCTTTCCATAGTTTGGCTATTGTGGACATTGCTGCTATAAACATCGGGGTGCATGTAGCCCTTCAGATCACTACATTTGTATCTTTGTGGTAAATACCCAGTAGTGCAATTGCTGGATCGTATGGTAGCTCTATTTTCAACTTTTTGAGGAATCTCCATACTGTTTTCCAGAGTGGCTGCACCAGGTTGCATTCTCACCGACAGTGTAGGAGCGTTCCCATTTCTCTGCATCCCTGCCAACATCTGTCGTTTCCTGACTTGTTAATTTTAGCCATTCTGACTGCTGTGAGGTGGTATCTCATTGAGGTTTTGATTTGGATTTCCCTGATGCTGAGCGATGTTGAGCACATTTTCGTGTGTCTCTTGGCCATTTGGATGTCTTCTTTAGAAAAATGTCTGTTCATGTCTACTGCCCATTTCTTGATTGGATCATTTGTTCTTTGGGTGTGGAGTTTCATAAGTTCTTTAGATTTTGGATACTAGCCCTTTATCTGATATGTCATTTGCAAATATCTTCCCCCATTCTGTCGCTTGTCTTTTGGTTTTGTTGACTGTTTCTTTTGCTGTGGAAAAGCTTTTTACCTTGATGAAGTCCCAATAGTTCATTTTTGCCCTTGCTTCCCTTGCCTTTGGCGATGTTTCTAGAAAGAAGTTGCTGCAGCTGAGGTCGAAGAGGTTGCAGCCTGTGTTCTCCTTTAGGATTTTGATGGACTCCTGTCTCACACTGAGGTCTTTCACCATTTTGAGTCTGTTTTTGTGTGTGGTGTAAGGAAATGGTCCAATTTCATTCTTCTGCATATGGCTGTCCAATTTTCCCAACACCATTTGTTGAAGAGACTGTCTTTTTTCCATGGACATTCTTTCCTGCTTTGTCGAAGGTGAGTTGACCATAGAGTTGAGGGTCCATTTCTGGGCTCTCTATTCTGTTCCATTGTTCTATGTGTCTCTTTTAGAACCAGTACCATACTGTCTTGATGATGACAGCTTTGTAATAGAGCTTGAAGTCTGGAATTGTGATACCGCCAGCTTTGCTTTTCTTTTTCAACATTCCTCTGGCTATTCGGGGTCTTTTCTGGTTCCATACAAATTTTAGGATTATTTGTTCCAGTTCTTTGAAAAAAGTGGATGGTATTTTGAGGGGGATTGCATTAAATGTGTAGATTGCTCTAGGTTGCATTGACATTTTCAGAATTTTTGTTCTTCCAGTCTATGAGCATGGAACATTTTTCCATTTCTTTGTGTCTTCCTCAGTTTCTTTTATGAGTATTTTATAGTTTTCTGAGTACAGATTCTTTGCTTCTTTGGTTAGATTTATTCCTAGGTATCTTATGGTTTTGGCTGCAGTTGTAAATGGGATCAACTCCTTAATTCCTCTTTCTTCTGTCTTCTTGGTGTATAGGAATGCCACTGATTTCTGTGCATTGATTTTATATCCTGCCACTTTACTGAATTCCTGTGTGAGTTCTACCAGTTTTGGGGTGCAGTCTTTTGGGTTTTCCACATAAAGTATCATATCATCTGCAAAGAGTGAGAGTTTGAGTTCCTTGCCAATTCAGATACCTTTTCTTTCTTTCTTTCTTTTTTTTTTAAGATTTTATTTATTTGACAGAGAGACACAGCGAGAGAGGAAACACAAGCAGGGGAGAGGGAGAGGGAGGAGCAGGCTTCCCGCAGAGCAGGGAGCCTGATGCAGGGCTCGATCCCAGGACCCTGTGATCACGACTTGAGCCGAAGGTAGATGCTTAACAACTGAGCCACCCAGGCTCCCCCTTTTTTTCTTTTTGTTGTCTGATTGCTATGCCTAGGACTTCTAGTACTATGTTGAATAGCAGTGGTGATAGTGGACATCCCTGCCGTGTTCCTGACATTAGGGGGAAAGCTTTCAGTTTTTCCCCATTGAGAATGATATTGGCGTGGATTTTTCATAGATGGCTTTTATGATATTGAGGTCTGTAGCCTCTATCCTTATACTCTGAAGAGTTTTCATCAAGAAAGGATGCTGTACTTTGTCAAATGCTTTTTGTGCATCTATTGAGAGGATCATATGGTTCTTGTTCTTTCTTTTATTAATGTATTGTATCACATTGATTGATTTGTGGATGTTGAACCAACCTTGCAGCCCAGGGATAAATCCCACTTGGTCATGGTGAAGAATCCTTTTAATGTACTGTTGGATCCTACTGGCCAGTATTTTGGTGAGAATTTTTGCATCCATGTTCAACAGGGATATTGGTCTGTAATTCTCCTTTTTGATGGGGTCTTTGTCTGGTTTTGGGATCAAGGTAATGGTGGTCTCATAAAACGAGTTCATAAGTTTTTCTTCCATTTCTATTTTTGGAACAGTTTCAGAAGAATAAGTATTAATTCTTCCTTAAATGTTTGGTAGAATTCCCCTGGGAAGCCATCTGCCCCTGGGCTCTTGTATGTTGGGAGATTTTTGATTAGTGCTTCAATTTCCTTAGTGGTTATAGGTCTGTTCAGGTTTTCTGTTCCTTCATGATTCAATTTTGGTAGTTGATACATCTCTAGGAATGCATCCATTTCTTCCAGATTATCTAATTTGCTGGCATACAGTTGCTCGTAATATGTTCTTAAAATTGTTTGTATTTTTTTGGTGTTGGTTGTGATCTCTCCTCTATCATTCTTGATTTTATTTTTTTGGGTCATTTCTCTTTTCTCTCTGATAAGTCTGGCCAGGGGTTTATCAATCTGATTAATTCTTTCAAAGAACCAGCTCCTAGTTTCATTGATCTGCTCTACTGTTCTTTTGGTTTCTAATTCATTGATTTCTGCTCCGATTGTTATTATTTCTCTTCTCCTGCTGGGTTTAGGCTTTATTTGCTGTTCTTTCTCCAGCTCCTTTAGGTGTAGGGTAGGGTGTGTATTTGAGACCTTTCTTGTTTCTTAAGAAAGGCTTCTATTGCTATATACCTTCTGCTTAGGACTGCCCTTGCTGCATCCCAAAGATTTTGAACAGTTGTGTTTTCATTTGCATTGGTTTCCATGAATTTTTTTTAACTCTTTAATTTCCTCTTTGACCCATTCATTCTTTACTAGGATGCTCTTCAGCCTCCGTGTATTTGAGTTCTTTCATACTGTCCTCTTGTGATTGAGTTCTAGTTTCAAAGCATTGTGGTCTGAAAATATGCAGGGAATGATCCCAATCTTTTGGTACCTCTTGAAACCTGATTTGGGACCTAGGATGTGATCTATTCTGGAGAATGTTCCATGGGCACTAGAGAGGAATGTGCATTCCGTTGCTTTGGGATCGAATGTTCTGAATATATCTGTGAAGTCCATTTGGTCCAGTGTGTCATTTAAAGTCTTTATTTCCTTGTTGATCTTTTGCTTACATCATCTGTCCATTTCAGTGAGGGGGTTGTTAAAGTCCTTTACTATTATTGTATTGTTCTCGATGTGTTTCTTTGCTTTGGTTATTAATTGGCTTCTATAATTGGCTGCTCCCATGTTAGGGGCACAGATATTTACAATTGTTAGATCTACTTATTGGATAGACCCTTAAGTATGATATAGTGTCCTTCCTTGTCTCTTAGTATAGTCTTTGGTTTAAAATCTAATTTGTCTGATATAAGGATTTTGGTGTCCATTTGCATGGTAAATGGTTTTCTACCCCCTCACTTTCAATCTGGAGGTGTCTTTGGGTCTAAAATGAGTCTCTTGCAGACAGCATATGGATGGGTCTTGTTTTTTTAACCAATCTGATACCCTGTGTCTTTTGACTGGGGCATTTAGCTCATTTACATTTAGGGTAACTATTGAAAGATATGAATTTAGTGCCATTGTATTGCCTGCAAGGTGACTGTTACTGTATATTGTCTGTGTTCCTTTCCGGTCTATGTTACGTTTAGGCTCTCTCTTTGCTTAGAGGACCCCTTTCAATATATGCTGTGGGGCTGCTTTTGTGTTTGCAAATTCCTTTAGTTTTTGTTCGTCCTGGAAGCTTTTTATCTCTCTTTTCATTTTAGTGACAGCCTAGCTGGATATTGTATTCTTGGCTGCATATT